TGGCTCCAGCTGGAGACCTCTGCTGCTCACACTTGGGAAGCCGGCAGCCTGAGGTCGGGGTGCCAGGCGCGGCGGGGTCCGGGGGCATCTCTTCTGGCGTGTAGATGCCTGCCCCCGCCGCATCCGCGCGTGGCGGGGGAGAGCGGCTGTCCCCCGGAGGACGCTAGTCCTGGTGTCTCAGGTCTCTACCCGGATGAGCTCTTTTAACCCTCATTACCTTCTTGAAGGCCGGCCATCCAGTCCAGTCACACAGGGGCGTTAGGGCATCGCCCCAGCAGTTTGGAGCTGGGAGGGCGGGTCAGGGCACGCACAGTAAGCGAGGCCGTAGCTCTGAGTTCCGAGATGGGCTGGACCAGAGCAGGTGGGGCCTGTGGGCTGCAGCAGGAGTGACAGCTTCCGTGACATCAGCGGGGAGCCAGCGATGGGCTGGAAACAGACACGCTCTGGTGTATATGCTGTAACAACATGCTGACTGTTGCGTGGAGAAGGGACCAGAGCCAGGGGGAGGGCAGTCGGCGTGGAAGCAGGGGACTGGCGAGGACGCTGCTGGGATGGATAACCCAGTGGAGACAGCCCAGGGGCTTGGACCAGAGCTGGCTGTCAACCTGGGGATGAGTGACAGCTGGGCTCAGGTAAGTCTTGCCTGGGGGGTGGTCCTGCACATTGTTGGGGGTTCAGCAGCACCCCTAGTCTGTGCTTACTAGATACAGCGCTCCCTCCGTATGAGTGTTTATGAAGGGGGTGGGAACAGGTGGGCTGGGGCAAAATGGTCCCCTGGTCACCTTGGGATCAGAGTGATGGCATCTGATAGTGGGATGGTCTAGAGATATCTAGGGATTTATAAAATGTGTAGAATATGAAGAATGGAGGGAGAAAAAGAGTTAAAGCCAAGAGAGACTTCTTGGCTTGGACAGAACAGGGGATGGAAGTGTTGGTTCCTGAGCCGGATGGGCAGTGGGGTGGGGGCAAGGTCTGAGATGCGTGCTGAAGGGGCCGCAGCTCTGACTTGGATTTGCAGAGTCTGAAATGTCTCTTAGACATCGGAGCTGAATATCAGAGTCTGGGGCTTGGCACACAGAGATGAAAAGAAGCATTGGATAGGTTAAAAAAAAAGATTAATTCCTCTGAAAATAATAAGCCCATCACATGTAAACATGTTTTTGTGGTGGGGGGGACCTTAACCTCCTCCGTCAGTGCGGAGAGTAGGGAGGCAGTGTGTTTCCCGATCTCTTTGCTGTTTGGCGTAATGGAATTCAGCTGGGTCCCAGCATCTGTTCCCACGTTCAGTCTGCTGTCAGTATCGCACACTGGAAAAGTCTGCTGTGCACTCCTGAGACAAGCGTGAGTGAAAAAGGCAAGTGCTGTCTTTGTAGCGGTCTGCAATTGGTTGATCTCATAGCCCCCGCTCCTCCACATTCACTACCTGGACACAAGGGATGTAGAACCCCCAGGGGTCCACTGACCACACTTTGAGAACCACCATCCAGAGGTTCAGCGCCCTGATTTTTATGCTGTTTCGCATGTGTCTGGGGCTTCTCATCACTCCCTCTCCACAGATAGTGAGTTCTATACCCCAAGCTGACATTTCAGTTTGGCCCTGTCTGCCTAGGGACTTGCTGAAACCATTTCCATATATGTATAAGTTTAGATTTACTCTCTGCTCATCAAAAGACACATCCATGTTGGTACCTTCATATTCCAGAAATACGTCCTAAACAGCAGAAAACATTCCAAGGATATGAAGACAAGTTTTCATTATATAGATGATAACTGAGTTACTTGGATAGTGAAAGAGTCATCTTTTTTAAGCAACACAATTAAAATAATTATATTTAAAGGAAATATTTCTAAAGGACATTTTCAGTTGCTTGCAGTGAAGAGAATATAATGAATATAATCGCACTTTTCTCAGTACACAAGGTCATCACAGTGAAAGTAGCTTCATTTTCTGATGAGATAATAAAGTGATGTTCCCAGGTGGGCAGAGCAGTTGTTTTCATGTGTGGCAGTTGAGACCCCTTTAAAGGTAAAAGATATTCACTGCCCCTCAGTGTCATTATAAATTACTCTGCTATAAAGATACTTAAATACTACAACCATTAGGGATAAATGTCTTATGATTCTGGATCTTTTTTATAACTATAAATTAAATGTACACATTAAACGCAGACTCCAAAATTCAAACCCAAACATCAGTTTAGTGATATGGTGATACTTTGCTAAGACTACATTAGCAAATGTAGTTGATTCAGAACATGAATCAACTGCCGTCAGAGGCATGAGTGCCTGTGAGTTGTGGAATGCTTCTCTTTGGATTTCAGTTGGCTTTTCTCTTCAGGTATCGAAGAGCCTCAGTTCCCACAGAACACCGTGACATAGTGTGGTCTTCAGATGGGTGTGTAAACACGTGTTTGTATATTAACTGCACCTTCTCTCTTCCTCTTGGTGTGCAACAGCTTGAATAACACAGTTGTCTTCCGGTGTGTTTTGGATGTAAATGCTGATGCTAAAATAACAGCGTTAAATTCTAAGAGGGTTAAATAGATGGACTCGAAGTTAGAAAGGTAGATCATATTCAGAATGGAAACAAACAAAATGAAAATTATAATGGGGAACTCTCAAGCCCCCAGGAGTGTGCTTGACAAGCTTTGATGTGTGAAACACGGCCCTGAGCTGAATGGCCTGTGAGTGCCAGGGGTTGGAGATCTTGTGTTGGCTTTTTTGTATAGGTGCCATTTCTGTGCATTCTTCATGTTAACTTTTGTCCAGATTTTACCACTATCTCCAGCTTCACTCCCTAAAATTGGCTGCTTATGATCTACTGGGGGCTTGGAACTTAAATATTTATGCTGAAAGTACGTGCAAGTTAATGTTCAGTAACCATGAAATCAGATGAGTGAAACAGAATTTGAATACATGGTCATCATGGACTCTTCCTTGCTAGATTTTGGGTTTGTAAGGGAGGTGACTTGCTAGCTAATTGAGTTATAGGTAAAGGAGGTATGAGATGTGGATTGTACGCTAAGATGCCTCAAATATTTTACACCTAGTATGACGTCTTTTCCACAGATGATGAAGCCAAGGCAGAGAAATGAGATGTAGTTCTCTGATCTTTGTCCGTGATAGCAGTGCTGCTGGTTCATTCATGAAACTCAGCCTCAAAATACTAAACTTGCTTTTGATATCTTCAAGGAGCTTTAAGAATAGGATGCCTGGGTCAACAGGCCAAGCTCTGAAGTATCACAGGGTGGAAGGGAATTAATTACTGGCCCAGCACATGGAGAGATGTGTTCTCACACATACACGTTTACTGAATCCCAGCTTCTGAATCCCAGCTCCGGGCCGACTCGCTTTCCTTCTCCTCCACAGGTAGTCGTGAGCGTACAAGGGATATAAAATGCTAAAAACATTTGCAGAGTATATTGCAAATATGAACTACTCTATAAGTGGTAACTAATAACTGACAGGCAAACCTGGGCAGAGCAGATCTGTACAATCACAAGGAAAGAGGTGTCCAGTCTTTGGAAAAGGGGAAAATTCCCTTCGTCTCTGCAGGCACTGTTTTCAAGTGGTTGAGCCACCTGCAAACGTTCTCTACTGAGTGTTCTCCAGTGAAGAAGGCCCGAGAGAGCAGCCCTTCCCGAGGCCCTGCCTTCCTGAGACTCGTGCCCAGGGCAGCAGTGGAGTGTGGGGCTTGGTCCCCTGGCCCGCGGAGGGGAGTCCCCACGTGTGTTCACGCATCTCTGGGTGATGTTTCTGCAGGGAGCAAGTTAAGGACAAGATTGGGGTCGCAGGCATGTTCTAGCCTTGAGGCCTTTGTATGTTTGCAAGTTAATGTGGCTACGTTTCCTACTTGATGATCCAGTTCTAGAGTGATAGGAGTTCCTGTCTTACAAGAGCCCAGTGAGAATGACTGAGCTTAACTTAGAATTTAAAATACATTTTGAACCATGGGTATTGGAAGCTGGTGAGTCATTGGGCTTCTTTATTGGTTTGGGTTTGTAAAGTCTGTTAATTTCTCTCTCTCTCTCTCTCTTTAACACATTATCCTAAAAGGAAGCATTTTTCTTTGAGTTGAACATGCAAAGTTAATAATTCGCACTGGGAGCCTTGAACGTTTTGGGACTTGTGTGGTCACTGGCTCTATGGAAGGTGGAAAAAATCAGAACAAACTGCTTTATTTTCCAAATCAGAAAGGAATTGTTCAGACTTCTGGTGGTCACATTGTTAACACGAAAACAGTAGAGTTAGGTGAAATAAATTAAGATGACTTATTGTGGAGAAAGAGAGGTAGTGTTTGACTAAATTAGAAACATTCGCTGAGTTTTTGACGTGTGAATGATTTAAATGCGGCTCTGGCAGAGGATTGCATGTGGTTTCCATTTTACAGTTTTCCTGCTTGAAAACAAACTGTCAGAATTTTTATTTAAGTCAATCCGATTTAACTCACTTAAGGCTCAGCAGCAACCTTTTGCTCCTCTTCCCATCCTGCCCCCCCCGCCCCCCCGCCCCCCCGCCCCAGACCAGGAGAAAGGTCTTTATCGGAGGTGGTGTTGATGGAAACCTGCATCTCACCAGTTCCGTTATAAACTGGGTGACTTCAGCAAAGGCTGTTTGATCCTTGATGATTCCACAGGACGTGCCTCTTCCTCTTTCTCTTTTAAATGACTTGGCCTGGTGAGGTCCTGAAGTCCCTGACAAGGGGAAGCTGAAGTACGAAGTTGAATAACAAAGTGATTTCACCGGGAGCCACTTGGAACAGTTGGCACCACGTGCCTGGCAGCGGCTTGAAATGCCCGTCACACACGAGTGGGGGCTTCAGACCCCTTTCAGACCCCCTTCCTCCCTTCTGGTCGGCATCTTTCAGGAACAGAGACAGAGCAGTTACCGCGCCAGGCCCGGCAGTTCCCGGAGCTTCACTGTAACCGGCTTAACGTAACTCACGCGTTCTCACAAAGCATCAGGGCTCATTCAGAGCTTGCTTTCTGTTTTTGCCCTACCGATCCGGCCAAACCGTTTCTTAACGAGTGAGAACCGGGAAAGGGTCAGCCCTGATTCCAGCTGACCTAGGGAAGCTGAGCAGGGCTGGTCTGTGAGTCTTGTGGCGCCTTTCCAGGTGACAGACCCCTGGGGTTTTAAGCTAACGTTACTTTTCCAGAGCTAAGAGCAATAACCTCTTGGTTTCATTAGCATAGGGAGGATTTGCACAGCCTCCACAATCTTCTGTTTGTGACCTAATAGTTAAAACGCTCCCAGGACATGCTTCTCACTTGGACCACCCTGGTTTAAGAAAACATAACAACCACCACAAAAAACAAAAATAAACAAACAACTTGGTTAAACTACTACCTTCAGGCGTATTCTCAGAGAGAGAAAAGACTGGACCTCCTTAAAACCAAGCAGGAGGAACTGCACTGATCTTTTTATCACTCAGTTATTTGTGAATGATGTGGTTCAAACAAAACTGAAAGGAGAACAGTCTTTCTTACTTAAAATACGTTTGTTGTATCCGGACGGAAGTAACGAGCAGAGGTAACAGGAGAGCATGGTCTCGACCTGGGCTGCCTGCCGGGCGGACTGCAGCTCACCCAGGAGAGGACGGTGACGCCCCAGGCTGTTGTCTTGTTCACTTGCTCAGTCGTGTCCGACTCTTTGCGACCCCGTGGGCTGCAGCACGCCAGGCCTCCCTGTCCCTCCCCATCTCCCGGAGTTTGCCCAAGTTCATGTTCATCGCATCAGTGATGCCATCCAGCCGCCTCGTCCTCTGACGCCCTCTTCTCCTTCTGCCCTCTCTCTTACCCCCTCTTCTCCTTCTGCCCTCTCTCTTAGCCCCTCTTCTCCTTCTGCCCTCTCTCTTCCCCAGCATCGGGGACCCTTCCAGTGAGTCATCTGTGCACATCAGATGACCAGAATACCCCCAGCCAGCAGAGAGCAAGTGCCAGGCCTGTGTGCACCCCCGCCTGTCTCCTCCCGCTTTCCGTGTATCAAGCAGCTCCTGATAAATAGGACTTGGAAGGAGTTTTCTTCTCTGCCCCCTCCTTCCTTTTATGCAGATGCCCAACATTTCCCTCCCTGTCTCAGCCCCTCTGCCTGTCTCCTTAATTCGGGGTCACCGTGGTAGAGTGCTCACCGTCAAGCCTTTCCTTCTCTCCAATCCATCCTGCAAAGTAGCCAGACGACTGTCGCTGAAGCACTGCTTTGCTTAAGACATTCGCCCACTAAATAATTCACACGGGCTCCCTATTGTCTCTGATGTGAAGTCCTAAACTGTGAGACTCAAGCTGTCCCCACTCCAGGCCTGGGTTTATTTTTTGCAGCCTTCTGGAAATTTCTGCTTCGGTATCTCCCATCCTCCAGCCTCCATGCGTGCTTTCTCCTCCGTGATGGGACTTCCTTCCGGCGCTCCTTCCTTGACCATCACTCCCTAACTAAGGTCTATTTTCTCCCTAAGTTGTAATTTCCAGTCCCTCGCCTAAGACTTGATTGGGTACCAGGCAAGTTTTTCCTCTGACTTCACAAGCTTGGTATAATCTGGAGGCTGTCATGCTGGTGCCCTGGGTTGCTCAGCTCCCGGGACTTGGGAGCACTTGCCATGTCTTTCGGGCAGAAGGATCGTCTGTCTCTCAGGGACGTTGTGGGGATGGCGTGGTGCGGCCTGTGTGTGCCGAGTGCTCCAGGCAGGGCCTGGTGCATCCTCAGCGCCCACAAAGCGCAGGTCATGGGACCGTGCTGGACTCCTGGAGACCCGGAGATCCCCCATCCTCCTCGCAAGTCCAGAAGGCTACGCACTGAAGAAATACTGGTTGCATCCATGTCTGCATACCCTACTGTACCTGCTGAAATTACCTGAGTATTTTTTAAAACTAGCCCAACTGTACATTTCCTTCAGGGACTTAGCTTGCTGAATGTAGGAAAATGATAGAATAAGTAAGCTGTGTTTTTCTTGGGATTCTACTTACTGTCCATATTGCAACTTAAAGATTTTTGGAAAGCAATGTAGAAATGATTTACTCTTCTATAATTGGTTTCCCGAAAGCAAAATTATATTTATGTGAGCTGCAGTGAGAGATGCAACTGCTGTAATTTATCGTCAAGGAGCACTTTCAAAGTATACGGGAGGACTAAAGCTCCAGTGTGTTAAACGTTCTAGAGGAAGACGTATTTAGACTATAAATCTATAGATTTTGGGGGAAATTTGTTTTCCTTCTTCTCTGCCAGGTGTATGAAGATCTTAAGTTCTTAGGCCTCACTGGGAGGAAGATTTAAGGTTGCAGGAGTACGTTTGTATCTCTTAAATTTTCTGTTGTCTATCAATGACACATGTAACTGGTTTGGGGTAAGTGTTTACTGTAACATTCCCCGCACTAGCTCTGAGCAGTTGTCTGGCAACCTATGTGATAAAGACGGAAGGAAGCGTTGTGTTTCGCTGCTGACAGGGGTGTCTTGAAAGTGCTGGAGTGCCTGAATGGGCACACGCCGCGCCTGGAGCAGTTTGCTCTCTGCGAGGTGTCTACAGGGTCTAAAATGGTTCTGACCATACAGCTGCCTATGATGCCACTCCCATATCACACTCAACACTCTGCTTAGAAGAACAGAAAGATAGTTTATCTTGCTATGCACTTGCTGTATTACTAAGATTTGAATTTAGTACCAAGAATAAACGATTATCTGTTACAGATGCTGATGGGCTAAAACTTTTCAGCAGTGTTCCAACACCCCCACCCCCTGCCCAAGGAAAAAAGAGGAAATAACAGATGAACATGACATGGAGTCTCATGCAGCATTTTCATACCTGTGTTCAGGAGTTTGAGAACCCACAGCTCTTAGAAAGAGAATACATGGAATACAGTCTGTGTGGAATACATGGAATGGGGGTCTGAACATACGCCTCAGGACCTGATTCCATTCAGACCCTAGTCCAGATGGCTTTTTTGCATTTAAGTGATGTTAACATCCTCAATGAGCCAAAGAGCCTGGACTAGGTGTCATTCTAATTCTTATGAAGAGGGTTGAAGGAAATGCTCTGACTTGGTGAACCAGGTACTAAAGGCCATTTACAAAAGGAGGAGTAAATGGCCTTTTAAACCATCTCTTGCTCAGCTGATTAAATGTGGTCATTTCAACTGCTAGCAACAATCAGAAGGAAAGACGTCCCCATTGTGGTATTCCGCAGTGGAGAGGGAGACTTGAAAAGAGACTTTTCCTCCCATCCCCATCTCCCCTGCTGAAAACGGATGCATCAACCACATATCTAGTTTTCCCTTAGTGGGCTTCCCTGGCGGCTCAGACAGTGAAGAATCAGCCTGCAACGCGGGAGACCTGGGTTCCATCCCTGGGCTGGGAAGATCCCCTGGAGGAGGGCATGGCAACCCACTCCAGTATTCTTGCCTGGAGAATCCTTTGGACAGAGGAGCCTGGGGCTGCAGTCCATGGGGTTGCAAAGTGTTGGACACAACGGAGCGACTGAGCACATTAGTAGTACTGAGTGTTGGTCACTGACAGTTTATTAACTGGCCTCCAAAATTTGGTGGTGGGAGTCTGTGTGTGTGTGTGTGTGTATTTGGGGGGGGGGTTGATCTAAGAAATGTAGTCAGGAGACCTCACCAGAACATTCTGTGCTGTACAAGCGTGCCCTTTAGAGTGGTCCCTCTCGAAGGAATAAGACTGCCCAGTTTGACTCTGTTGACTTGGAAAGGAGTGAGATACTTTGCCTAAATTTTTCCTTCCTTGAGCCTTAGGAAAGGCTTTCCTTTGAGTCCCATGGAGTCAGGCTCCGGGTAGGATCCTAAAAAGAGCTCTCTCCCAGTCATACAAGACAGGGCCCCTGGGTTGGGTCCCGGCCCCCGGATGGGCTGGCTCCTGGCTCTGCAGGGAGGCGGGATGGCATGAAATGACTCCCCTGAACCTGACGTCTTGCGTTTCTGACTCTGTTGGATTCTCTCTAGACAGAATGACCTCTGGAAACACTGGGGAGGACAGGGGTGGCTGGTCCATTTTGGAGGAGCACACACGCTTTCTGAACCCCTCTGACCACACTGATCTTCAGCTCCTGTGCCCCTGCCTGCTGGGGGGTCTCTGGGCCCTACCTCCCTTGCCAAGTAATGAATGATTTGCAAAGAAACACTTACAGGTATGAGTGGGGCCTATTATTCAAAGGAATCCTAAAGTGAATAGTTTTCTAATCCATATTTGTCCTGATTATTTTTGTGTTTACTGAGCATGTTTTTTTTTTCCTATTTCGAAGCTTGTTCTTTTTTTTTTTAATCCTAGGGAAGGCCTACTATGTGCTATTTAGTACCTTGGCTCATCTTAACATCACAGTGCATGACTGAATGGACCAATTCAGTTAAATGCCATACAATCCTTTAGATGAACTTAATGATATTTGAACTACTAGAGAAAGACTACTTTCAAGCCCTCAGAAACACTTAGTTACAATTGTTGGCTTAATTGCACATTATTCTTATGCAGTGAAACAAGTCCCTGAGGGCTTCTTGGGGTACTGCGCCTTGTTATTAGAAGTCCTTCTAGTTGTATGTCCTTACCAGCTGAAAAACTTCGTTAATTTGAAAATAATCTCCAATTCAGACTTGTATTCAAACAAGTCATTCTACCAGCAAGTCCAGCTGGAAGAGATTTTTTTTTAAACACTTTTGATGTGTTTAGGAACAGGAGATTGTTTTTGCTCGATGCCCTGTTATTCTGGTGATCAGCTCCCTTCACGGCTCTGGCATTATCCATGCCCGAGACTACAGGATGCTGAGTGGTCCGAGTGCTGATTTGACGGAATTGCTCCCTGACTTTTTCACCGAAGTAGCTGCTGTTACCTTAAAAAATAACTTGAGTTCTTTCTCCCGCCCCACCCCGGTGTGAAGGTGTTACACAAACATATATTTAGGCTGTTTGGGGGTTACAGATGGTAAACAACAAATCCACATTTAAGAATGCATTTGCAAGCCAAAATTGAGTGGTGAGCCACTCCGGAGTGTGGGTCTGGGGCTGTGGAGGGGGGTGGTGATGTCTATTTTGCTTCGTTTTGTGGAATAATTTTTCACATTTCT